ATGTATATCCAGTAAAAATAATGTTTAAGTAATATACAGGGCGGGTGGACAAATTGTAGCCATTTTATATTTTTAATTTTCGCGCATGTGCGTTGTTTGCTTTTGATTTTGACGACTGAACAATATAGTAGGGTCAGTTGGGCACCATTTATGAGAAAAAGGGCACCATGACGCAATTCAACCCATCAGAAATTTGAAAACGGCATCCTTTACTGCTTGGCATTCGCACCGGAAGCAACAATACGAACATTTCAGAATGTTTGAGTGTCAATCTGAGGATATTGCATTAGTTTGGGAATAAGTTGAATGCGTGTAATGGCGATTACAAAAGTGTTTGGAGCGGTCATTAGAGATGGCGACGTAATGCATCCATTCTTCTTCCAACAGGACCCTGCACTATGCCACACAAGCAGGAGAACCTAGTCATGACTGTCAGACAATTTTTGAAAGTATATCACCCCTTATATCTGGCTATCAACCTCCCAAGACTGCAACCCGTTGATTATTATGTGTGAGGCGCAGTTGAACGAAAGACTAACAAAACTCCTTGTAACACCAATGATGAACTGAAGGCTAGGATCATAACAGCATTCACCAACTTAAACAAGGAATCTGTCGAGAAGAGGTGCAGGAGAAGCTGAAGTCGTCTGGAGGTCCTGATTGAAGCCAATGGCGATTTTATTGGATAAATTTATTCTTTAGCATTTCAAGATATTTTTGTGTGATTTTGGTAAATATATCAGTTAAAATCAGATGTCAGTGTTATTTTAATTCTTGCGTAATTTAGACGACAATTTATTCATCGCACCTTCTGTGTGTGTGTATATATATATATATATATATATATATATATATATATATATATATATATATATATATATATATGTATGTATATACACACGGAAGGAACAACGACATAAATTTACACTGTTTAGAAAACAGGAATACCTACTGAAACACGTGTATCCACTAAACGTAACGTTTAAAATAACATTTTGTGTTGTGTATGTATGTGTATTTGTTGAAAAAGACGCCATTCGTTGTCACATCGGCGGAAGGCTTTATCAGAATTAAAACGTTACATATCCGCGCTGTGCATATTTGAGGATGGATCAAGCGATGTTATTGCCCGAAATCGACTGGTCACCATCATCACGTATGACATGACAGTAAAGAGGCTTGTGACGAATTTCGTTCCGAGAAAACAAACAGAAAAAAAATCTTCAGATAAAATGATGTTTTCCTTGTTGGAATCAATCCTAGATACAACGAGAGAAACCACATTAATCAGCGGTCAAAGTTTGCGTCAAAAGTTAATGATAGAGAGAGACACCGAATATTTCAATTAGAGCTTTCATGTCCGATGTTTTAAAATTTTAAACTTAGCCTACTGCGTTCAACATTTTTTCACTTTCATTTTTTATTGTCATTAGGTTAATCTTAAAAGTTAGATGCATCGGACGTTAAAATGCATATGTTGAAAGTTTTTGTATCTTTAACGTTTTGATTTATGCTAAAGCCAGTGTTTATTGTATTTCCTTGTGTTGTATATACACTAACGTGCAAAGGTTTTGGTCAACTACATAAAATGATTATACAGCTTTATTTTATTAATATGCTAAGATTTTTTAGAAGTATACTTTTATCATTAATACATGTAGACCTTGCGAACTGAAAATAATTATGAGTTTTCGTAGGTGTCGTGTAACAGAAGATATGCCGCTTTAAACAATTTGAACCTGAAAAAAGGCCATGCAAAATTCTTGGGCCAATGAAAGATCTGAGAAGATAACGTCATGATAATATGCAAATTTATAAGTAGGAGTTCTTGCAGATTATTAACATATGTGTAAAGTGACTTCGCAAGTAATTCTTGTGGAACGTTAAATTCCCTTTTCCTTTTTTATACTAAAATCGTGGCTAAAATTTCTACTGAGGTTTACGATTTTGAAAGCGGAGATAACGAAGGTTATCTGGAGGCTAAGAATTTCTAGAAACGGTGTTTAAACCGCCCAAAAGACGTTTGTTAAAACTGGAAGTGTTTTAAGTGCAAATAAAACCGGAAGGTCAAAGGTGGACAAGTGAGGTAAAAGAAAGATTGTCAGAGTCTCGGTAGATAATCCAAAATTAACAGTCAGTTAATTGAGGTGGCGAATTCAATCTTAACAGTGAAGTTTATTTCATACAGCACACACATTAGAAAAATCCAACTTGAACAAACATATAGCAGCGAAAAAAAGTACCACACGGAATAAAAGATTGAAGTTTTCAAAAGAACATCTAACATGTGATGCAGGAAAGTAATAAAAATTACTTTTTAGTTGTTAATGCAAGATAGCATTATATCTTAATGCAATATAAAATGTAAGGATACCAGAGAGAGCGCGAAAAAAATACAAGACCTACCACAAAGCCGGAAAACATTGGTGATGGACAAGTTAGGGTGTGGGGTTGTATCAAAAGTGATGATAGGAAAAAAACTGTTATACATTGATAGAAACTTAAACAGAGAAAACTATATTAGTTTACACCGGTCTAATATTCTGCTAGACTATGAAGATCTCAACATAATTGAATCATTGTACCAGGAACTGAAGTGAACCAGCTAAAAACTACGTAATCTCCAAATCTTTTGGATTACTGTCAAGAAGAATGGGCAAAAATTTCCAATGAAATAATCTGGAACTTGTGCCATACAAGGTCACATCAGATGGAGGTAATTATTCGTACCAAATGCAGCAAAAGTAATTACTAACTCCATACTTTGATATTTTATACTATCCACAAAAGTAACGATCAATTTTTTTCAAAAATAAAATTCCTTTTTTAACTTAAAAAAAAAAACAGAGCTGACATGCCAATTCAATAAAACCATTAAAAAAAAACAAAAAAAAACAATCATTTCGGAACGAAAAACGTCAAAACAGTATCCAGTATTGACATTTATTTACTATTAATTTCATATATATATATATATATATATGTGTGTGTGTGTGTGTGTGTGTGTGTGTGTGTGTGTGTGTTGCTCATGGAGTGATTGTTTGAAGGAAGAACAATTTCATGACGATATGAATTCAAATTGAATCAAATACAAGATGAAAATAATAATATCGGTCTCGATTAATGACACTTAAAAATACTTCTGACATTTAATTCACCATGTCTTCAGAGATATTCCGTATTTCACACTCGTATCAAACCCAAGTAAATATCCATAAACGAGATATCTTTTTACAAGAATCATGACTTTTAACACGACACTTATAAAAGTCTAGAAGGATAAAATTCTCTCAAAAATTTGCGTTTTATTTTCAGTTAAAGAATATATGAGTTTTGATAAATGTTAAAACAATTACAAATTTAATTACAATTATGTTCTTGTCCTGATATCTCACAGTTAGATTATGATTTTATATCACATGCGTTTTTGTCTACAAATACATAAAACATACACAAATACACAGAGGCGACTTTATCTATTCTTAGATAGATAGATAGATAGATAGATAGATAGATAGATAGATAGATAAATAAATTTTGCCATCTAATGATTAATCTTTATAAACTTTTATCTAAATGTTTATCTATCTATAGGGGAGTGGTGAAAACGTCTCAGCATAACCCACCTTGTGAAATTGGAAAAAATAATCCAACATCCAGGTCTTGTGGGGAAGAACGCCCTCATATATATATATATATATATATATATATATATATATATATATATATATATATATATATATATATATATATATATGTATAAAATAAAACAGACATTCTTTGCCGGTATTATTGTTCAACACAACTTGTTTAAAATAATTCTTGCTGCCTAAATACAGCCTATATATATATATATATATATATATATATATATATATATATATATATATATATATATATACTGACGTGCTATACCATTATCCCATTTAGCTACAGATGAAACGTCTGCTTAAAAACAGTAATTTCACTTTGCTAATCAGGCGTTTTTTCTGTATATATATATATATATATATATATATATATATATATATATATATATATATATATATATATATATATAATGTATTATCAACAGTTCATGATTTTTGGGACAGTTTTTTTGCCTGAAACGACCATCTGACCAGACATTCCGATGCTCACAAACTCCAATATTGAGCACACTTTTCCCATAAATATAGAATTTTTAAGCAATATATATATATATATCTATCTCTGTGTGTGTGTGTGTGTTTGTGTGCGTGTGTCTGTGTGTGTGTGTGCGTGTATATGCGAATAAGTGTTATCGTAACTGAATTATTTCAGTTTATTGACGTATTTAAAGTGTGTAATGTGAGTTTAACGAGACCATGTTGCATTTAATCTTGATTGTTATGCGATGATTTTAGGCATATAGTGTTGTGAAAAGGTGTAGTTTCGCACTCCCGCCTGCAGTTCACTTCACTCAATTCAAACTCGCGAGTTCGATCCTCACTGTATGCCCCATATGTATGACTTTGTGTCTGACTAAACTAAGCTTAATCTTTGCCACGCCCACTCTTTTACCACATGACGTCACAAACCAGACGCGCGGTCGTACCGATAACCTTCCTCCCACACAGCTAACGTCACCAATGTTATTCAAACGACCGTTGTGTCTTTATTGATTTCGTGAAATCAATTCAAACGAATGATGTCAGTAGTGAAGTTAGTAGGAAGGCAAATGGTAGCGGAGGTGGATTTTATGGAATCTAAAGACGTTTTAAACTAACGCCCAGTGTCTACTTCAACCTGCGACATTACGGCCCACACTCGTCGAAGAAATCCACTCAGTGTTTTGCCACTACCACTCTCACATCTTTCTTTCACGTCCTTTTCTTTTTGCTACGCACTCACTGAGTTACTAAATAACTTTGTGTCTATCTTTCATCGCTCCCCTCTCCCTCTTATTCTAAAATGATCCTTTAACTCTCTCTCTTTTTCTTCTCTTTTTCAAGGGCCCTACCTCGATTTCACTCACATAAATGCCCCCCTCTTTCAGATTTCAGTATATGTTGCATTTTATTGTGCATTTCTTACACGTTTGTTTTCACTTTAATGAATTCTGTATCTAAGCCGTTTCTTTTACTATTTGTTTTTATGGCTCTACTTCATAGAAGTCCAAGCTCATTTATTTATCATATTATCATATTTAGCAAGCTATATATATATATATATATATATGTGTGTGTGTGTGTGTGCGTGCGTGTGCGTGTATAAATTCATTTACCTACTACAGTTTGTTTATATCTATTTAACTATGTGTATATGAATCAAAATATGTATGTATGTGTCATCTTTATCTATTTGAGTTTTTCTATCTATTTATTTATCTATCTCTCTGTCGATCTATTCTTGTGTCTATCTATCTATCTATCTATCTCTATTTATCTGACTATCTCAAGCTATCTATGTGAGTCTTTCTACATTTATCTATCTATCTATCTATCTATCTATCTATCTATCTATCTATCTATCTATCTCGATCTGTTCATATGTATGTATGTATCTATTATTCGAGAGGAAACAATGATTTAGATTGGACGTAGGTGTTGATGGGCAAGACGGCAGTCATCTGTGAAGATGGGGCAATCAACATCTATCTATCTGACTATAGCTATTTATGTGAGTTTTTCTACATCCATCTATCTCTCAATCGATCTACCTCTCAATATGTCTGTCTGTCTATCTCAATCTGTTCATATCTATCTACCTCTCTTTCTCTCTACCTTTTTCTGTCTATCTAGCAACTTACGTATATATATATATATAGAGAGAGAGAGAGGGAGAGAGAGAGAGAGATAGATAGTTAGATAGATAGTTAGATAGATAGATAGATAGATAGATAGATAGATATCTTTCTGCTTACTTTAATGTTTCTTTCAGATCTTTTACTGATTTATTTGTCCTTATCATTGCTATTCATTTACCTCTGAACATTCATCTTTACACTCAGTCTATTTGCATAGATATTAGTTTGTTCATGTGTAATGTCATGAATATCTATCTAATCTCGTTAATTGCCTATCATTGCGTACACACATCTATCTATCTATCTATCTATCTATCTATCTGGACTGAAATTTTTCATGTATTGTGGGTGCCTATGGCAACAAAATATATATATAGAACTCCCTCATAGAAATAAATATACCAACATTTAAAAAAAAGATATATATGCACACGCATATATATATATATATATATATATATATATATATATATATATATATATATATATATATATATATATATATATATATAGGAGGCACAGTGGAGGTCTTTGAAACAGGAACAGGGGTTTGGTAAATGACTAAGTCCGACAACAATTTAATATATTTTCCGTTTATATGTTATTTTTATAGATATAATTTATTTAAGTAATTGCTTTGTTTTTAATTAAACAGTATTAATTACATTTACCGAGCGGAATTTTCGTACAAATTATGCAATATCCGACAGGAATCGAACCTATATTATGATATGAAAACTACATATTTAACTACAGAGAAGCGTCTGGTTAAAAAGTACCAAATTACTGTTTTTAAATCATATACCACGTCAGATCAAATGACGGTTTCTTTAAAGGAATACAGGTTTGATTCCTATCGGAGAACATATATTTTTCTACGAAATTTCTCGAACATTCAGGCTGATAAATGTAATTAATACTGTTTAATTAAAAACAGAACATTTACTTAAATGAACTGTATCTAGAAAAATCTCCTATAAACAGAATATTTATATATATATATATATATATATATATATATATATATATATATATATATATATATATATATATATTTATATATATTCAAACGGCCGACTAAGAAGACTTTCAAAAGAAATAGCAAAAAAGGAGGCGATAGGGTGTTTGATCATCTGGTCAGATTTGGGAACGTGATGCAAACCTGAAGCATTTCAGCTACCCCTTTCTGCAAAAAGATATCTCTATAGATATTTGTTCTATAGAAAAAATATTGCTTACAACAAAATATCGGAGAATTTGGGAAACTCGCAAACCAAATGTCAGAGAAAAAATATTTGAAGATTACAAAAGTTTTTTGAATTGTACCCATCGAAAGAAATAGTGGAAAATAGTGGATTTAGGAAAACATTTTTTCCTGGGTTATTATATTTGGTGCTGTTTTCACCAAAGATGGACGCTCTCCAACGGAGATCAAGTCCAGTCTGGCTATAGTAAGATCGGCAATGTCAAAACTTCGTAAGATTTGGAAAAGCAAAAACATCAGCTTTTCAACCAAGATGAAACTATATGTTTCTGCTGCTGTTCAAAACTGATTTATGGATGTGAAAGCTGGAGTCTAACAGAAGAAACCACCAAGAGAGTTCAAACACATTGAAACGAAATGCTTCAGGCGGCTTCTCGCAGGAGCCCTTCTTGGCAACAGTAAAGAGGAGAAATCTGCTAATGGCTTGGACATGTCACACGCCAAAATACTCTAACAAGTGGAAGCGGGTGAGTAGAGTGAGGCTGTTCAAAAGCTGGATAGACAACATCAAAGAATGGACACAGTGAACACCCCGATGCTGTCTGGATGCATCATCTTCGCTCATGACACCTCTACGAACGGTTCGGTTATGAGAAAGTGAAAGGATATATATATATATATATATATATATATATATATATATATATATAATCTCAGAGGTACCACAATATCACAAGATATCCGTTGCATATTTTTTCTTTTTTTATTTAGGTGACAAGAGGGAGCATATTCCATATCGAACAAGTAATCGGAAATTGCATCTAATCTATATTGTGCTCCCATACACCAACTAAATAAAAGAAAAATATATTTTTGTCTTCATTTTATTCACTTTATACACACGCACACAAATAAACACACACAGACACATACACAGATACACACACACACAGACGATATATATATATATATATATATATATATATATATATATATTAATATATATTTTTAAGGTATGTTATACATATGGGTTAAAGTGCTTAATATCAGGGACAGAGCTTATGTAAATGACAAACTGCACATTGAGGTCGACACCCAGAGGTGATAGAATGTTTCATGCTTAAAAACAAGCATCCTTCCATTATATATATATATATATATATATATATATATATATATATATATATATATATATATATTTATATATATATATATATATATATATGAGGTAATAACGCAGGGTTTCACGCTTTTGCGATCATCAGAAAAACTATAATATTATAATATTATAACTATATAATATTTATTAAAAATTATAACAAAACAAGGTGAAGATTTTTTGCAGAAATATCTACACTTTTTGAATCCAGCGTTGTCCTTCTCCTAGACCAGTTGCCATCCAAGGTTATAGAACCCAGTCTGTCCTGCTACCCACAGCTGGAGGGAGAAGAAGCACGTAAGGAAATGTAATGGTTAGCACGTAAGTGAATGTAACAGAATTCGAACTCAGCTCTCCGATTCCTCCATTACTCCACTGTGACTCCTATATATATATATATATATATATATATATATATATATATATATATATATATATATATATATATATATATATATATATATATATATATATATATATATATATATATAACTTTAAAAATCCTTTTCTTATGTATATATGGGTGTGTTCTACAATAAATTATCTTATGAGAGATTTTAGTAAACGAAAATTTTGTATATTTATGTACGTTCTTAGAATAGAATCCGTATATCCTATTCTTTCTTTGAGACAACTTTTTACTTGGCTTTTATCATCTGTTTCGTCTTGTATATAATTAACTACGTCAAGCTATATGTTTTATTTTTGTTAGTGCCTTCACGTACGATGAAGACTAAAACAACCTTTGCGTTTATCCTTCATTTTATTTTATTTTTTTCTGGACTAAATATATTTTCTTAATCCCCTCGGCAATTTTTTCCGAGCTACTCTTGAATTCTGTGAAACAGTTCAAAATTTACTTTCGAATGTAATTTCGAAGCTGCCTTCATCTGCGATCTTTTCGCTCTATTTTTGTCGCGTTAAAATGTTGTGGGTGTTATATCATCGAACGAAGAATGGCACTACCAAACTCTCTGCATCAGTTTCCATAAGCACGAGCAGACACACACACACAAAGATATATATATATATATATATATATATATATATATATATATATATATATATATATATTTATTTGGTTGGATAGATGTGAGTCAAATATGTTAACTCTATATATTGAGCGCTTTCTAATAAGTACCATACATATAATATATAAATAATTATAAATATATATATTTATTTGTATTTATATACACTTTTCACACACACACACACACACACACACACACACACACACACACACACACACACACACACACACACACACACACACACACACACACACATATATATATATATATATATATATATATATATATATATATATATATATATATATATATATATATATATATATATATTAAAAATAAGAAAAACAGTAAGATTTATAATCCGGAATGGTGCAGGCACAGAATTAAAATGCCTTTTTTGAAGAAGGAGGACATTTAAACATCACATATAACAAATAAATTGGTTTTAAATAAAACTTTCAAGTAATTATAATTTTAATAAATTTCTTCTATGGTGTACAAGTTTTGCCTCTCTCTCTCTCTCACACACACACGCACACACACACATATATAGATATAAATATATACATATATACATATATATATACTTAATTGTATTGATATGACTTTGTGACTCTGAGTTTCACGACCTTGCGGTAGTCAGAGTTTGTCTGACGATCGCAGGGGCGTGAAAACCAGGGTCACAAACTTACATCAATACGACTAAGTATGTTAGCTCTATCACTGATATTGAACACTTTCTAATAAGTACCGCGCATGTATGATATATAAATAATATATATAGAAATTATACACACACACACACACACTCACACACACACATATCTGAATGGCCCTTTCACTACAGAATTAATAATTATCGCAATCGAATTAAGTCGACTCCCCATGAAAAATTATTACCTGTAGAACAACATTTCCGCCTGAAAAAACAAGATTTCAAAACCCATGCCAAATTCACTATAATTGAGAGAATAGAAAAGTTTAGAGCAGATAACATTAGAAAGATTTTAGAGTTCCATGAAAATAAGTGAATACAACGTCTAAAAACACAATATCCAGCCGGGCTAAACCATAAATTTAACAATATAGATAGTACTAATATATAACTCAACAAATCAAAACCTACCCACACGAATATACACACTTACACACATCATACCCACTCACTCCCTAATGAGCCAAATGATAACACACACCCACAGCAATACACGCGCTTACACATATCATACTCACTCACTCCCTAAGAACCAAATGACACAAACACAAACACTAAACAGAGACACATCCCCTCTCCAGGACCAATAAAACTGTCAAACTGATCAAGGGAATTCAGAGAAGCATAGATCCATCCAGCTCTTATTTCAAATAACAACATAAAAGAGACTGTTTGACCAACACAAGGAATCTTAAAAGATTCATGTTAAAAAGATAAAAAAACAAATTAAAACTACAGACAAAAGTTCATTTTCTCCATCAAGACATTCATTTCTGTAGTTTACTGCTACCAGCAAGCAGAAATATTTCTTCTCCCGATGATGGCCATTTTGGCCGAAACTAGTCGAGGAATCTAAATGAAATAATAATAAAAAAATAAATAAATAAAAAAGAAAAAAAGAAAGAATATTAATCTACAACCCAGTGTATCTGAAGATTTTAATTTTTTAATTTTTTAATATTTTTTTATTGTTCAATATATATATATATATATATATATATATATATATATATATATATATATATATATATATGAGCGTGTAAGTATATTAAAAAGGTTTTAGATATCAACGAGTGGAGAAATAAAGCCGAAACTAATGAATGGTTCAGTAATAGAGATAGGAAAGAAGAATGCCCACTTTTACAGTTCGATGTCTGTGAATTCTACCCATTTATCACGGAAGATCTACTGATGGCAGCTCTTAATTTATCAAAGAACTACTGCCAT